TAAATAAATTTATATATATATATTTATATATATAAATATTTTATATATATCTTTATATATATATTTTAATATATTTATTTATATATAAATAATATATATATATATTTATATATATATATATATATATATATATATATTTATATATATATAGAAATATATACTTGTAATATTTTATCTATATATATATATATATAATATATATATATTTTATATAAATATGATATATATTTATAAATAATATATATATATATATATTTATATATATATATATATAAATATAATAATATATATTATATATATATAAATATATATATTTATATGTATATATTTTAATATATAAATTTATAAATATATATATATATATATAAATATATATATATATATAAATATATATATAATAATTTATATATATATATATAAAATATATAAATATATATATATTTATATATATATATTATATATATATATATATATATTTATAATATAAAATTATAATATATATATATAAATATTTATATATATATATTATATATATATATATATTATATATATTATTTATATATATATATATTTATAAATATATATATATATTTAAATTATATAATATATATAATATATATATATAATATATAATATTTATATATATATAATATATATATACTTTATCTATATATATATATATAATATATATATATAATTATATCTAAAAAAAAAATTATTTTTTAAAAAAAAATATACTTATATATATAAATATTTAGATATATTATATTATAATATATATATTTATATATATATATGAGATAATTTATAATATATTATATATAAATATTTATATATAATATATAGTAGAATATATAATATATAATAAATGGAAGTTTTACACATAGAATTGATGCAAGGAGGGAAGAGCTAATATGAGAAAAAGAGAGAGGTTAAAGATTGGGAACGAATGTAGAAAAAGTGCAAATGAAGAGTGGTGAGATGTTATCAACAAAATTTTTTGAAAATAAGAAAAGTTTGGGAGTGAGATTAACAAGTTAAGAAAGCCTAGAGAAACAAATGCATTGTCAGTTAAAATAGGAAGGAGAGTATATTAAATGAGAGTTAGAGGTATTGGGAGTCGAATGAGGGAATATTTTTAGGAATTGTTTAAAGTTGATAAGAAGGGACACTGTGATTTTCCGTGTATAGGGAAAGGAGGATTGAAAACATCTTGTTGAGTGAGGAAGAGCCAGTTGAGTGTGTGGGGAGTTCGTGGCAGTAGGTAAAATGAAAGGGGGTAAGCAGCCGGGATTGATGGGATAAAGATAAAAATGTTAAAAGCAGTGGGGTATAGTTTCGGAGTGGTTGTGCAATTAATTTAATAAATGTATGGAAGAGGGTAAGGTTCCTAGGGATTGGCAAGAAGCAGGCATAGTTCCCTTTGTATACAGGCAAAGGGGAATAAAAGAGAGGTGCAAAAAATTATAGGATAAGTCTGTTGAGTATACCTGGTAAAGTGTATGAGAGTTTATAAATTGAAAGAATAAAAGTAAGACGGAGGAATAGGATAGCAGATGAACAAGGAGCTTTAGGAAAGGTAGGGGGTGTGTTGACCAGGTGTATACAGTGAAACATATAAGTAACAGTATTTAGTAAGGATAATGAGTCTTTGTGGCAATTAATGGATGAAAAGGCATATGACAGGGTGGATAGGGGGGCAAATGTGGCAGAAGTTGCAAGTGTATGGTGTAGGAGGTAGATACTGAAAGCAGTGAAGAGTTTCGACGAGGTAGTGAGCTCAAGTTAAAGTAGTAGGAAAGATGGTATTTTTATCCCAGTGAAAGTAGGACTTAGACAAGGATTTGTGGATGTTCACCGTGGTCGTTTACTATATTTATAGATGGGTTGTAAGAGAAGTAAATTCGAGGGTCTTGGCAAGAGGCGTGGAGTAAAGTTAAAGAATCACACACAAAGTGGAGTTGTCCACAAGCTGCTCTTTGCTGATGACACAGTGCTCTTGGAGCATCTGAATAGAAGTTGGCAGAGATTGTGGATGAAATTGGTAGGGTGGCAAAAGAAGAAAAAATAAAGGGAATACAGGAAAGGGTAAGTTATGAGGTTAACAAAAAGATTAGTGACGAAAGATTGGTATCAGATAGAGGGAGAAGTATGGAGGAGGTGAACGTCTTCAGATATTTGGGAGTGGACGTGTCAAGCGGATGGGTCCCTATGAAAGATGAGGTGAATCATAAATTGATGAGGAAAAAGAGTGAGTGGTGCACTTAGGAGTCTGTGAGACAAAGAACTTTGGCCATGGAGCAAAGAGGGGAATGTATGAGAGTATAGTTTTACCAACGCTCTTATATGGGTGTGAAGCGAGGGTGATTACTTTTGCAGCGAAGGAGAAGGCTGGAGGCAAGTGGAGATGTCATTCCTGAGGGCAATGTGTGGTGTGAATATAATCAGTGAATTCGAGTTTGGAATTAGAGGAGGTGCGGGATATACCAAAAACTGTTGT